GAAATCCTCCTGTCTTGAAATACTCAGCCCAGCTTTTGGAATGTGTCCTTGACCATCCTAATACGTCTACGGATCACAGAGTCGCACTTACCGTCCTCTGTCAAGACGTTTCCCAGATATTTAAACTTACGCGTCTGCTTGATTCTTGTGTTCCCGACCTGTAAATCACACCGTACGCTTAAATTCATGCAGTCGGGACACCAGGGAAAAAAGCTTCTCAGAGCAGTTGCCATGAAAATATTTGTAGAACAAAACAGAGGGAAGCCACATCATGTCTGTGAGAAAGTAACTGAAGTCGAGATGCCAAATCAGGACCGATTATATTGCAGATTCTTCTTTGGATTTTGTCGAGGAGCATTAGACCACATATGGTAACACTATTCAATGCACCAACGAATGGTAGTTTTGTAGATGATACCGAAATCTAAATATTTCAACAATAAACGAGATTGAATCTAGTAACCCGCTTAAATTCATGTAGTCGAAGCATCAGGAAAGATGGCTCGTCAGAACAATTGCCATGAAAATATTTGTAGAAAAGACAGAGGAAAGCCACGTCATGTCGTTGAAAGAGTGACTGAAGTCGAGATACCAAGTCAGGATCGATTACATTGCAGGACCTTTGGATTTTGTCAAGAACCTTGAGATGAACAGCAGGCAAGACATGGCAACAATATTCAATGCACTGACGAATGGTAGTTTTGTAAATGTGCAGGATCGACTCTGAGAGTCTATGGATATCTCGTCTAGTTCTTATTTTAGTACTAAGTTATTGCTCGCCCTGTTTCTGCTGAGTCCAATTACACACTGCCCGGCCCAAGGATTGAACTCACAATTACTATGTCATCAAAGTCACGGACCTATCCACTCGACTATTGTCCCGTGGGAAATTCTGAGTGTCGAATTTGGAATTTAAGTTTGTATTATACCGTACGAATGCTTAATGTTCCCATTATAAGTTCAGATTCAGTGACTTCCTTGTATTTATTTCATTTGTTTGTTTTTTCAAGAAGGCGCTAATTATTTTAACGATTTATTTTGTGTATATTAAGTAAACAGATTTATTTACATAAAACGAAAGATAGGAAACAGTTTGTTTAAATTGGTGCTTTAAAAAATATATATTCTTTGTTACTGGTGCGAAACAAATTTACGACGACTCTCTCACGGAAGGGTAATACCAAATAATATAAAAATACCTCCCATCAGAAATATAGACAGATTCTGAAGAAGGTCGGAGCGTACAACGACCGAAATGTCGTGAATATGGCAACAAAGATGAGGACAACAATCCGAACAATATAAATAGTGTAAACAATTACAATACCTCATCTCAGAAATATAAATAGATCCTGAAAAAGGCCGGAGCGTATAACGGTTGAAACGTCGTGAATATAACAACGAAGAGCAGGGTAAAAGTTCGAACAATGCAAATAGCGTAAACAGTTTTTAAAGCTTTTTTTTCTGCTGGTATGAAATCCTTTCAATAAAAGCTCAAAAGAGGAAGATGGCAATTGACGTTGCATTTAAATTTTTGAAGATGGTAGGTATCAGAAAACCAAGTAACAGTATTCAATGCATGGACGAATGGTAGTTTTGTAGATGATACCGAAATCTAAATATTTCAACAGTAAACGAGTGGGAATCTAGTAACCCGCTTAAATTCATGTGGTCAGGACATCAGGGAAGATAGGTCATCAGAACAATTTCAATGAAAATATTTGTAGAAAAGACAGGGGGAAGCCAGGTCATGTCGTTGAGAGAGTGACTGAAGTCGACATGCCAAGTCAGGATTGATTACATTGCAGGACCTTCTTTGGATTTTGTCAAGAACCTTGAGATGAACAGCAGGGGTACCAGACCAAATATGGTAACACTATTCAATGCACAGACGAATGGTAGTTTTGTAGAGAATTAAGACGAGAAAAAACATCCTTCTGTCACGACAGAGAGAACCAAGTTTCATTGCAATAGATGTAGCTATTGATTCAATGTAGTTGTTCTTCGTCAATTCAGTCGAAAAGGTGAGGTCAAGAAGTGAGACGCTCTCCTGGAGTTGGGCTATAACGATTCTGATATTGGGCAAGGAAGTTTCATTGTGGTGATTATATGATATCACTTTAGTTTTCGGAGTCGAAATACCAATTAAGTTCAAAAATTGATTTCTTCAAATCACCATCTCCGTGGAACTTCAATTGAGTTGAGTTCTTCAAATCCCAAACTCTGCGGAACTTCAAGATCTCACGTCCCAAAACTTTAAACTCACTTTAACTCTGATTCTTTGTCATTTTGAAGAAATAAAATTGATTTCCTAAATTCTTAATGTTTTGAAAATATTTTAAACTGAATTTTAAACAAAACAAGTTTTCATGTTTTAAAGTAACACGAAAACTTAGTTAATTTAATATAAATATAAAAATTAAAAACTTTAAAATCGCTATTTTTTTTTAGTTATTTTAAAATTTGAATTTTCAACTGTTCCCTCCTCATCTGGACACAAATCCAAATGCTGGATATTCAAGCACCAATTGAAGGACAGATTTTCAATCCTGGGATCATCCTGATTCGAAAGCGGAATAATATATCTACGTTGAGCAAGTGTGGCCCGAATTGGCTTGAAAGGGTGTCAGACACACGGACGAACTGACAGAATTTGCCATTTCTTTATTTAGATAATTTCTTTTGGTCCAGACCCGTCTATTTCTCAAAAAAAATAAAATAAAATAAAATAAAATAAAAAAAAAAAAAACAGCAAAAATCTTATCACTTTGTTCAACTGAATGAATAAGTAAATAAATCCGTAGTTTCAGAATTTTTTATATAAAGGAAGGGTAATTGTCTCAGGTATGACGCTTCCTCCGTAAGCAGTTTTTATTTTAAAGTAGTAGATATTGACCTGTCTGGTCCTCCGTAACTAAAAACTCCTATTTTAATAAAACAAAGAAATATACTACATCTCTCAGATGGAATTATTTTCCGAAACGAGTGGTCGGTAGTCGCGACAAATTTCTTTTAACAAAATGACATTGAGATTTAGAAATTTTAAGAAGGCCTACTCTAAACATCCAATTCGTTTCTTATAAACATTCTTCTTCTCAGTTGGTAATCACATTGGTAGTTGGTTGATTTTATATCATGTCAACCTTGGTGGGTTATTTCATGTCGAATTATGTGTGGGGAACACGGTGAGGAGGAAAATCGCTGCTCAATAATAATGGTCAACTAAACTAGTGTTGGATATAGGTGAGGAAAGCCCTTTGACCTTACTTCCGCTGCATGAGTGTGTGAGTAGAAATCGGAACTAGTGATAGCATAAATGCGTCCAGTGGCTAAAATAAACAGGACGCAAAGGTGTCATGAGCCTTGAACAAACAAGGTGCATAGGTGTCCTCGGCAAATGCGCGCTTGCGTGGGCGCATGCCGAAAAAGGCGTGTCCATACGAAGATGCGTAGGCGACATACCCGAAGAAGTCGAGCCACGTGAAGTCACGTAGGTGTCCAAATGTTATTTAACCGGTCCTTTTCTTGATCTGGACAGAGAGGCTGGCTAGAGGTTTACTGAAGATTTATCTGCGTCAATTCCTGTGTGCACAATCCTAACCGCTTTGATTGTTCCCCTTCTATCCATTCGCCGCAGTTCGAACAATAATGAAGGTATATATATATATATATATATATATATATATATATATATATATATATATATATATAAATATATATATATATATATATATATATATATATATATAAACATAAATATATATATAAACATAGATTTATATAAACATATGTATAAACACACACACACACACACACACACACACACACACACACATATATATAAGATGTTTTTTCTTTTTCTTTTTCCCGTTTTTCTCTGTTTCCTTTTCCATATCATTTCCGTTGAGTTGACCGATTAAATAGGTCAATGTCTGATTTTTACCCCCTTCTTCCTCAATATTAAGTATTATAATAAAAAAGAAATATAAAAATAAATTTTAAAACTGTCCCTTCCTTCTCTAAAATCGACCATGTCTCTCATACTATCCCTTACCACCCTCTATGTCAACTTATATAAGTTTAATACTACCTGTCGTAAGCGTAAATTTTAAATTCATTTTTCGTTTTACCTTTGGAACATGAAGTCTGAAGATCCAGAGAAAAATAAAATTTTGTGGTGAAATAAATTATTACAAATGGAGCCTTGAAGTGGTCTGTTTCTCTTTAAATTAAATTATTCCTTCTGACTTAACATTGAGCTCACAGGATTTCATCCACCTTGGGATTATCCATACGGATTACCAAGATTTTTGTTACTTATATATATATATATATATATGTTTGTGTGTGTGTGTGTTCATTGCTTTTTGAGCCCAGCAGCAATATGCTACACTAGCTTCGCTAACCATTACCCCATTCTGAGCTGAATTGGTGAATCTAACGGCATTCCTACCATTTTTGGGATATTTTATGTCGAAATTTATATAAGGCACCCAGTGAGGATCAAACACGCTACTCCGTAGTAATGGTTAACCGGACTAGTTTCGCTAACCATTAATCCATGCTGAGCTGGCTTGGAGGATTTTACATCTCTATGCCTGTTAAATTGTTTAATGTCGAATTTTGTATAGGACACCTAGTGAGGATCAAAATCGGTACTCAGAATTCGTGGTCAACCAGATTAGTTTCGCTGACCAGTACACCATACTGAGCTGGTCTGGTGGATTTTAGGACATGGGGATTTTCTAAGCGCAGTTTAGATGTGGTCCAAAGCCAAAAATATAGGACACCTAGTGAGGATCGGTCTAATCGGACGTATCTGAGCTAATGGATTTTACGACATGTGGTAAGGGAATATAAACGGTGCGACTGCTAACTTCCATACTGGTCTGGGTCGTTCTGCCCAGGGAATGATTTTCGCATTCTGGGTGTGTATTGCACGTACGCGGTATCGACTCTGATGCGTCGGAGGTCGATCACCGGAGTCGTATCGACTCTAGCGCACTTCCGATTCGAACAGGCGTTGTTGGTCTTGGTCGCAGGTAAGTATAGCTGCAGCAAGCGTCATTCTTTGGTACGGGCCGGTCCGACGCAGCGTTCGAATGTAGCGGTGTTACCGGCGAGGTTCGTGAGCGATGGCTGGCCACCCGTCAAGTCGGCTCACGAGATTGAGTATTCAGGCGATTAGGCGGCCGATATCGCTTGGACGCACCGTCCACTCGTCGGCGTACAGGTACGAGGCCGTGGTTCTAGCGGAATTACCCGACTTGTATGGATATCCGCGTTATTCCGATTCGAGGCGACAATATTCGTCTTAGTCGAACGCACTTAATTTAAAAAAAAATCGTCTTGTAGTGTGACGGTATTTAGTCGTTGCTCTAAATTTATGAACTTGTGTCAGCCTTAGCAGTACTCGGAAAATTCTTGTCAGTATTAATTTTTCAAGAGATTTTCCGCCAATTCTACAAATAAAACATTCAAGAAAATTTGGTCTTAACGTAAAACCCACTTTCAACTGATCAGATAAGCAATGGGCGTAACAAAAGGGGATAAGAAAAAGAAATGTTGCCATTGACAACTAATTTTTTATTCATATTAACTGCATGGCTTCTTGAGAACAGGCGGGCGGGAAATATTGCTTCTGTTAACGTAGGCATTAAACTCTTGAATTAATAATTTTTAATATTTTTCCGATGACGAGTCTGACAAATTTTAAACTGATATAACTGATAATATTTCAGCAAACAAAAGTTCTATCCCCAAAATAATATACCGAGTAATAATTTAAAAGAAACTATCTGAATTTGGCCTTAAAATATATACTTTTGGAGGTCTTTAAAAAATCCTAAAGATAGTTTTAGCTTTGGGGTCTGAAACGCACTGGAAATTAGATAGCAACAAAGTCATTTAAATTATTTCCGGTTTGACACACGATATTCAAAATCGGCTTAACATTACAACTAAAGAAAAAAAAATCCTTTCCACTCAATAAAACAATTTAAAGAAACACGCTTTCCCGTCCTGAGTAAGATGATAAACTACATCCGTGTCCTGGGTAAGACAATAAGCTACATCCGACAGCAAGGCCTCTGATCAAGAGGTTTTGAGGAGCGTGTAACCATCCTGACCCGGGTGGCACCACCTGTTAGGGTCCCAGCTATGGGCAAATAGTTAACCACCAAACAGCGGTCAAAACACGTAAAAGACTCGACATTGCTTACCTTCGGTGATCGTACGGGAAGTAATGCTCCATGTGATATAGCCGTAAGTCTCTTACACCAACCGCACATCCAAGCTTACAGCACCGCATTTTGCCAACCGCTCACCAATATTGTTACCGAACAGACTCGACGTTGCTTAACTTCGGTAATCGTACGGGAAGTAATGCCTAAAAGTGACATGGGCGTAAGCCATTACACCAACCGCACATCCAAGCTAACAGGACCAGGCATTCCTAAGCAGTCACCCATCTTAATACTGAACAGACTCGACATTGCTTAACTTCGGTAATCGTACGGGAAGTACTGGTTCAACGTGACATGGCCGTAAGCCATTCACCAACCGCACTTCCAAGTTTACAACACCTGGTATTCGCAACCGGCCACTCATCTTGGTACTGACCAGACTCGACGTTGCTTACCGCCGGTGATCGTACGGGAAATAATGTTTCAATGTGATACTGCCAAAGCCCCTTACACCAACTGCACTTCCAAGCTTACAACATCTGATATTCGCAACCGGTCGCACATTTTGGTACTGACCAGACTCGACGTTGCTTAACTTCGATGATCGTACGGGAACTAATGCTTCAGTGTGATATGGTAGTAAGCCCATTACATCACACGCACATCCAAGTTTACAGCACAAGGTATTCCCAACCGGTCACCCATCTTGGTACTGACCAGACTCGACGTTACTTAACTTCGATGATCGTACGGGAACTAATGTTTCAATGTGATATGGTAGTAAGCCCATAACACCAGCCGTACATCCAAGTTTACACCACCTGATATCCCCAAATGGTTACCCATCTTGGTACTGTCCAGGCAAGACGTTGCTTAAATTCGGAAAATAGGGTTTTAAACGTGATGTGGCTTTAGGCCGTTAAATTATATTTTCTTCCTGACACGGCAAAGAATGCAACATTACCAAACGAACAACAGGGAGGGCGGGAGCTGCCTAGCCCTAGATTCCTCGTCTTGATAGAATTCAAAAGCATCTCCGGGTCCTTGTTAAAGAAGAATTATTGTCCACCTTCCAAGCTCTCTCTCTCTCTCTCACAAGCGAGATATGGCGAGTCTCTCACTGCTCTATCGCTACTTCCATGGAAAGTGCTCGGACGAACTGTATTCCTTGGTTCCGCTAGGTCCAACCTTCACAGCTAGGACCCTCCATACCATTTACACAGTAGCAAACCGCCCATATTCCCTCCGTATTCCGTCGGCGAGTAGTAAGTTCCACTCAAACGGATTCTTTTCGTGAAACATTGCCCTATGGAACAGATGCCCTAGAGGATATTTCCCGATTATTACAATCTTAACCTGTTCAAGTCTGTTTAGTTAATTGTTATCTTCCCCTGTTATCTATATAAACTATCGCTTAATGTAACCCTCTATCTCGAGTGCTTCCGGGCCTGGTACAGGGTTAACATTACTGTAAAAAAATGGCTCATTTAAACTGCACATAAAAATTAAAAATACGAAACAACCTTTTTCTAGGTTAAATATTGTCAATTGATATTTTTGTTGGATGTAAAAGTCCGTCATTACTTAGCAAAAGATCATTGAACTGGCATATGAGATATTAGTCTTCCAGATGAAGCGTATTTTTCAGCATATGAGATCCGATGATAGTGACTGTCACATTAAGAAAGAAAACTCATGACTCATTTCCATGAATCAATCTGACATTATTTTTGATTTGTGACATGTTGCGTTTTAAATTATTCAAGAAAGCTGGCAGCATGATTCTCCCCTTAATGACAAACTTTTGCTTGACACTGTGGCTTTAGAACATACAGTAAAGCAGGCCTTGTACATCACTCGCGGTAATATGTGGCAACTGATCCACAGTCACTAGAGGGAAATGTAAGAAAGTCCGCATTCTGACCATGAGACCCGGGTTCGAATCTCACCATGGTCCGGTTCCTTGTACCACGGTGATAGTCCAAGGTAGAATCAATAAAGAAGAACTCGAACACAGGTATCGAATAACACAGATATATTACAAACAGGAATATATACAGAGAAGTAGAAAGTGTTAGTATGAACAATCAGATTTAGTAGAGAGAACAATGTAGTCTCGACCAGTGTCACTATTCCAATGTCTTGTAGTAATTGTCTGAACGCGACTCTGTTTCGGACTGCCTCTGACTCGACTGACTGACTTGCTCGCTCTGACTGACTGACAGACTCCTGACGGACCTCACTCCAGACTTCAGACTGAACTCTGAACAGTATTTAGTCACCACCCCCACGAGGGCATCATGTGGCACAAGGCCGGTTTAACGTGGGATCTCCAGGCCCATGGGCTCGGCCAAAAATATGCCCTTTGAACCCGTATAAACGGGTTCAGGGTCTCTTTACCTCCCGAAAGAGACTCCGCCCTTCGGTGTAGCCTCGTTCAGGTTCCTCCCCCGCCGGATTATTATTATACATGTATATATATATATATATATATATATATATATATATATATATATATATATATAAAAAAGAATCATTCTTAGCCGATCATGAAATAATTCAGGATAAAATGCTGATTCTCTGAATTGATCGGCCCGATATATAGTGTACATACAGACTCCTAGCTATTTTCTTTGGCTGTAAATCAAGGATTCGGATTTTCTTTTTCATCCCACTGCAAAGACGATGTATGGGATTGAAATCCGATGACTGGAGGTCACGTTACAGTAGAAAAAAACTGTTCATTTCCATGAACAAATCGTCCATTATTATTTGAATGTGAACCAGAGCGTTGTCGTGTTGGAAGTGATCACCACATGCACATAATAATCTACATAATAATCCACATATTAATCTACATAATCATGTACATCACAATCTATATAATAATTTACATAATAATCTTTGTAATAATCCAAATAATAAGCTACATAATAATTCTCATAATAATCCCCATAAATAGCTACGTAATAATCCACAGAATAACCCAAATAATAATCCACATACTAATCTCTATTATTATCCACATAATAATTGGCATAATAATCCACATAATAATTGAGATAATACTATACATGATAATCTGCATAATAATTCACATAATAATCTATATAATAATCTACATACTAATCTCCATTATAATCCACATAATAATCTACATGATAATGCACATAATAATTCACATAATACTATACATGATAATCTGCATAATAATTCGCATAATAATCTACATAATAATGTACATACTAATCCGCATAATAATCCGCATAATAATCTACATAATAATCCACATAATAATCCACATAATAATCCACATAATAATCTACGTAATAATCCGTATAATAATCGACATAATAATCGACATAATAACCCACATCATAATCTACATAAAAATCCACATAATAATCCACATAATAATGCACATCATAATCTACATAATAATCCGTATAATAATTTGCATAATAATCTACATGATGATCTACATAAGAATCCACATAATAATATACATAATTGTTATGGAGTGGTTTCACAGTTGAGGCTTGTATTTGTACTAAGTCGGTCCTAAAATAGGTTCGACGTACAAAAGGTTAGGAACTTGATATAATAGGTAATGACGCAGAGAAATCTAGTGGTGGTCGCTGATACTTTTAGTATCCGACTAACAGTCGTCCGGCATCGACTGACTGACCGATCCACTGAGCGGTATTCAGTCACCCACCCACGAGGGCATCATGTGGCACAAGGCCGGTTTAACGTGGGATCTCCGATTCCGTGAGGTCGGCCAATATTCCCTTTGAACCGGTATACACGGGTTCAGGGTCGGTTTACCTCCCCGAAAGAGACTCCGCCCTTCGGCGTAGCCTCGTTCGGGTTCCTCCCCGCCTGAAGTCAGAGAGTTCAACCAATCAGCCGGTCCTCCGACTTCAGACTGAACTCAGACTAACTCAGGATATTCAGTCACCCCACCCCACTGGGGCATCATGAGGCACAAGGCCGTTTTTAACGTGGGTTCCCCGAGCCCGTGGGCTCGGCCCAAAAATATGCCCTTTGAATCCATATAAACGGGTTCAGGGTCGGTTTACCTCCCCGAAAGTGACTCCGCCCTTCAACGTAGCCTCGCTCGGATTCCTCCCCGCCCGAAGGCAGAGAGTTCAACCGGTCAGCCGGTCGTCCGACTGCGCGACTGCTCGTTACCATTACTACTCTTACTTATTATAGGTGGGAGCGTCTATTAACTATAGAATAGGTGTGTTCCACTCTAACAATAATAATCCACATAGTAATCTGCATAATAATCCATAATATATTGTCTGCGGGATTTCAACTATCTTTTATTTGTACCAATGATCCCAATATCTCCCAAGGAAATATTCCACCATATGCACAATTTTGAATCTTGGATACGAGACAAATTCAAACTTTCCTGTTGTTTATACTAAATTATGACCTTACCGCCCACATATCAGCAGAAATTGAAACTTATTAGTCAACGTTTTTTCCTATGTTCTCTTATTCAATTTATGTGATCTTAAGCAAATTGTAGCTACATTTTTCTGTTCACACCTGACAGGATTTGCATCAAGTATGCTATTCCATAGCTATACACCATCCACTTCGATGTGTTGTGCATTTAGACACTCTCTTCTATATATATTATCATGATAAAGATCGTTTATTTGAGCCAGTATTATATTTCTATCAGTTTGGACCCGTCTGGCAGATCTCCTTTGACATCTTTCACAGAAAAGTTAGTACCACCCACAGCATTGCTAGTCAGTGGATTTTTTTTTTGTTTACATTTTTCTGACCAAACCCTGTAAACATTGGGGATGGTCGCACGAGAAAATTCTAGGCGATCAGCACTTTTTCGAAATACTCAGACACACCCGTCTCGCGACAACGACTAAACTCCGTTCAAAGGCAATTATTACTTTCCCATAATAAGGCGTGAATTAAAACTCAGCAGGTCGCCACATCCAAGTCGAAATGATCCTATATCCATTAAATTGCGGCTGATTATAAATTTGCATAAAAGTATATTCGTTCATATTTACTTAATTAAGACGCCAGTAAATGCGTGAGCACACACACATACTTGGGCAGAGAGAGAAAGTGTCTGTGTGTGTGTGTGTGTGTGTGTGTCTGTGTGTCTGTGTGTCCCCCGTTGCGTTTTCCAAGGTTTCGAATCTTTGGAGTTTTTCTTCTTTATTTTCCCTTCTTTCGATGAGAGCAAGTATAAACTAGCGCTCATCGAGCAGAGTGAAAAGAAAATTTCACGCCTTTCCTAAATATATGTGATTTATTATGGCTCTATTTTTATACAATATGCCCACTCCTTTGTATTTTTGTCGTTACTCAGTCAGTTAGCGAAGTGCTGTATATTTCATACTCTGTACATTTGCATGAAATATAAGTTGCATAGACATAGATCAATGAAAAATTAAAAAAAATGATCAGTCACTTAAGAGCCATACGTGATACGCACTTGGACGATTATGTCTCTTTTAATTCATGACTGACAACGCAGAAAATTTTACCACAGCCTTTTTTTGTTGTTGTAGAATGGTTGCCAACCAACGATAAGGAATCAACTATTCTGGGTGAGAAGAGATGGATTCATTCTACTGTTCAACCTATAGCTGGTGGTGAAGAAACGGAGTTATACTTTTCTCAAAAGTATTTGACCGTACGTGATGGTAAGGAACCCGACTGGAATTCGAACTCGCCTCTCGGATTTCTTATCCCATGCCGTTATCCATTAGATCACAACGCATATCTTTCGTTTGGCATTGTTTTACCAATATTATATGAATAATGGTAGTAATATTTAAGTATTCGCACAATATCAATGCAAAATGACTAAAAACAATTTAAAATATGAATTATGGAATTTTATTTGCCAAATTGAAAATAAATATAATCAAACGCAGACACGGAGGTGCTGAAAAGTTTTCAGTTTGACCCACTTGCCAAAATCATTTCAATGACCAAATTCTAAGAGGATTCTTTGGAAGGATTAAAGATATTTGGAAAATGGTACACCAGTTAATTGGTACTAGAAAGTAAATATGTTGAAAATAACATTTCATTTAATTCATGGGTTGAACAGGGCGATTTCTAACACCTTGTGTGTGTGTGTGTGTGTGTATGTGTGCGTCAGAGAGAGAGAGACAGAGAGACAGAGAGACAGAGACAGACAGAGATAGAGATATCTAACAGGTTCATATTGCATTTTATATCGGTAAATTCAATATTTTCCTTTTGTTATTAAATATTTTAAATTTCTTTATTTCTCGCTTGTGGAAATCACTTCCGGCTTCTTACTTTCCAATCAACTTTGATGTCAATCGTTATTTTCTGTCTTCTTAGAACCTGTTCTTTTATTGTCCTCTTTCCTTAATAATATATTTTTCTCATATTCTCTAGCATTCTGTAAAATCTATTTTTCGTTTCATTTCATTAGCTCTGGATTTACAATGAGCTCTCAGGATTTCATCCTCCTTGGGATTACCCATCCGGATTACCAAGTTTTTCATAACTTAAATATATATATATATATATATATATATATATATATATATATATATATACTCTTCCTTATCTACTTACCGTACAGGTTTTTAACTGCCTTTTCCCTTAATTTGAGATTTAAGTTAAAATGAATAGTGAACATTTATTGCATCTTCGCGAAGAGGGTTCAATATACCGAACATCAGTACCCCTGGACAAATGTAACTTTTCAAAATATCCTGGAATATTTGCGGCATTATATTATCAACGTATTTCGTCTAATTTCCCGTTCCTTGTTTGATCGATTTACAATTCGATATCGCTCTAAGCAAAGAAATCGAAAGGGTTTAGATGTGCTGATTTCGTCCGCCATGGTCTGTTAATTCCGAATCCAATCCATAGATTTAGAAATCGTTCATTGATGTAATCCTGAACAATTTTAGCGTAATTGCAAAGGGCGCCATCTTATTGAAATGCGACGGTCCTAATTATCTGCATTCAGGAATTGCTACGCGTCAAGATAAATCGGTCCTGGAACTCTAGCTTCCGCCAAGTAAAAAAGGTCCATAGATACTGGAGTTTGTCAAAATCCATCCAGGCGAGTATTTTTCTCCCAGGATCGGGCAACGTTATTTCCTTGCCAGTTCTACCCAAATGCAAAAATAAAGCCGACTGTCCTGCAATCGACAGAATAATTCTGCTTATAACATAACGCCATAAAGGGCATATTTTGGCATCGGGCTGAAAGGTAACAGCTGTGATTGATAATTTAATGCTTCGGCAGGCTTTTTGTAAAGATTCTTTATACCATTGGATATCGCATGAGTAGAGTGAGCGTTTCAAAGACGGTCGAGTGTCCGTCCAAGAAGAAGAGCGTTCAGGGAAAACCATCACTTGCCCAAAATGTGGGGGAAAAATTAATGAAATAAAAAACACCGTTATCTGTACGATCATCGAAGTTAAGCAACGTCGAGCATGGTCAGGACCTAGATGGGTGACCAATTACGAATATAAGTGGCTGTAAGTTTGGGTCTGCGGGTGGTGTAATGGATAATGGCCCGGAATTGTTAATAGGAATGTCGAATTCCAATTCACCTCGGGTTCGTTATATTCATTTCCGCGTTAATACCCTTGGGAAAGGCATGAATCCATCTTTTCTCCCCCAACTATGGGTTGAATAGTAGGATGAATCCTTCTCTTTTCTCTAAGCTATGGGTTGAATAGTCGGTGCTATATCCCCTATGGGTTAATGAAAAATAGTTAGATGTCTTTTAGATTTATCTGAATTCTCTGGAATATGAATGTATAGAAACTGTTCTTGTCATAAAATGAAGGATCATTTTATATATTGATTGTAATATAGAATTGATCCCCCACTTTATATAGACATTGTAAGCTCTTATTTGTTGATAAGTCGCAGAAAACGAATCAATCAATCAATGAAATGCTGATTAGCTACACAGTCTTTTAGATTTATTTACATTCTCTGGGATATGAATGTATAGAAAGTATTCTGGTCATAAAGTGAGGGATCAGTTTATATATTTTGTAATATAGAATTGACCCCTCACTTTATATCCAAATTAAAATTTCTTGTTTTTTATCAAATTCTGATTATGCATGAATCCACCTCTTCTCCTCCCAACTATGGGTTAATTAGTAAGCCTTGTATCACTGTGGACACAACGTGGGGGATCAGTTTATATATTGCTTGTACTATAGAATTAATCCCCAACTTTATTTCCTCATTATAATTTCTTTTTTGTTAATCAAATTATAATTAAAGCATGAGTCCACTTCTCCCCCAGCTATGGGTTAATTAATATGACTTGTGTCACCTGATCTTTATTATTTTCTATCTTTGAATGACCAGCAAAGTTTGGGAAGCCGTAGAAAGCAAATCATTTACTCAATAATTCACAAGGACTGTGGCCGGACATTGAATGTAAACTATCCCATGAGTGGAATAAGTAATGGTGGCTAATAGAAGATGGTCACGAAAAGTCTCAGTAAACATTGCATCGAAAGGTTTTCATTTAAACTTCGAGACTTGGTGGAGAATGTGATAGAGGTTAAAATAAATAATCATCTCTCTCTCCCTCTCTCTCAAGGTCGATTTGACTGTCTTTAAACTACTAACCGAACGCTCCTCTGTGGCCAAAACGGTTAAGGCACGTCAGGCTATATGACGGTTCCGTGTAGGATACAGGTTCGATTCCTGTCGGAGGACGCATTTTTTCTATGAAAATTACCCTGACATTCAGGCCGGTAAATGTTAGCAATACTTTTTATTACGAACAGAACATTTAAATATTTGTATTTATAAAAAGAATGTATAAACATAAAAATGTCTTATAATAATTGTCGGACTTTGTCCATTTCATAATGTGTGACGTCATTTGTTTACATTTGGATACGCCATGAGCAGATATGAATGTACGTGAGAGATTCATGGAAGATTGAAATTTAAAGACAGTAAAATCGACCTTGATAATCGAACGATCCTCTGTGGCTTGATCTGTTAAGAGCACGTCAGGCTAAAGGACGGTTCCGTATAGGATACAGGTTCGATTCATGTCGGAGGACGAATATTTTCTATGAAAATGACTCTGGAATTCAGGCCGTTAAATGTTGTTTATTATAAACAGAGCATGTACTTAAATATTTGTATGTATTAAAAGAATGTGTAAACATAAAATATTTTAAGATAATTGTCGGACTTTGTCCATTTCATAATATATATATATATATATATATTTTAAGCATTTCACCCCAAGCAAGGCGGGGAGCCACTAGGACGCAAGGGGTTACAGAAAATAGGAAGATCAGATAGGAGTGATAGAAGAAAGGATAAGGGTAGTAGATAGATTAAGGCAACTGGAGATGTCGATTGACATTACACTTGAATAGCTGGAGATTATAACTCTCAGGGAAACAGGAGAAGGGAAGAGAGTTCCACAGGCGAGAGGTGCGAGACATGAAGCTATTAGAGTAGAAGAGACGGCTACATTTAGGAGTTTCGACAGTGAAGGGGTGAGAGCGGGATGCCAGCCTCGTAGGGCGCTTGAACTCATGAAGTTTGGGAACCAGCGAATGCAGTTCCTCGGAGCAATTTCCATGAATATATATATATATATATTTCTGTCGTAATTCCCGAAAAACAAGTAAAAATCTTTGTTGTTGTTATCACTCGAGCACCATATGTCTGCTTTTCTGGGATGAGGTATTACAATTATTTACGTTCAGACTATTATCCTCATCTTTGTTGTTATAATCATTATTTACATTATTCACAGTTTAACATTTTCTTTTCTCAACCGTGGTATTCCCTTCCGAATTCTTGCTTAACTGCCAACTACAATGTTCAAACATTAACGTTAATTGCCATCTTGTGTTTCATGAACCATATTCAGCATACGACCATATCTCGTTGAAACACCTGTGCACATAGGATCACTAAAGTTAAGCAACGTGATGCCTAATCATTGCCTTGCTTTGGAATAATAAGTACTTTAGGTTTGGATGTACGGTTGGTGTAACCACTCGGAATTGGGAATCGGAGAGCTGAGTTCCAATTCCTGCCAGGTTCATTATATTCAATCGAGAATCTATGGTCAATCTGCAAAGAACGACTTCCAGGAATGGACATACGAAGTACTAACATGTGCACCCAGTGCACATGTTAGTACTTTTTTCGTATGTTTCCAATGAAGAATACGAAAAAAAGTAAATAATAACGGAATGATTCGTTTTGTTTCAATTAATTTGCACAAGCGTGTATATGTCTATGTAAGTGATTTTCTATCTATCTATCCCAGTCACTTCATTATCTATCTATCTATCTATCTATCTATCTATCTATCTATCTATCTATCTATCTATGTCTATTAGATCATTTGCAGTGGTGTGCAGTATTGTGAATCTATTTTCAGAGTCTGTAATGAAATTTGTTTGGCCCTGAAAAGTATTGCGCCCTCCATTATTGCATCTGATTTTTATCACGCCCAGACACTATTGTCTCGAGTGTCGATTAGTTGTCCTACGGCCATTTTCTGCTATAGACGTTACTCCCAGTTAGCGTACTCCAAGGAAACGTACAAGCACACTGGTAATAAAGCCTTAATCCACTGTGCCATGTGTCTACGAGGACACATGGCACAGTAGAGAACTTGAAGAGGGGCATTAACAGGAGATAACTGACAAATGACATCCATTAAACATGGCACATGGAACTAGGACAGTCTACTCAAGTGAGCCAAAGGGTTCAGTTCGACATTCCAACCACCTGAAGAAGGCCGGAGTGTACAACGGCCGAAACGTTGTAATAAATATGGCGACAAAGATGAGGACAATAGTCCGAATAATATAAATAGTGTAAGAAACTGTTAGCATAGAACTTACGGATATATATATATATATATATATATATATATATAATCCGCTTTGAATTTACACACCCCAACCTCACCCTGACTTGACCTCTTTGAATGTAACTGAGATATTGATAGAAATTATTAACCCTTACGCCCCTTTTTCTTTAAATAATTGCTCTCGCCGTTACCACAGTAATCTTAATTTTAATAATGAATATGCTTATAAAACGCGTAAATTCTAGGAATTAGTTATTCAAAAAAAAAATTCGCTTGAAGATGGAACAGAGCTTGGTACTTTAATTAAATTTAATTCAAATAATTATATTGAAGTTTTCGGCTCTTATTTTGAAACATAAGAACTCTTATGTAGCGATGGAATCATATTTTTTAAATAAATAATTATATATATATATATATATATATATATATATATATATATATATATAGAAAACTCTTATGTAGCGATGGAATCATATTTTTTAAATAAATAATTATATATATATATATATATATATATATATATAGCCATTTCAACTATAAAATGATGAGACCCTGTGTCAATCTAGTACTGCCCTTAAATTCATAAAGTCTACGTTCTTTTATGATCCAGAATTATGAAAGATAATTGATCAATATAAAAAACACTTTTCCACCAGTGATGATTGATGATAAGGATATTTCATCATCCTGAAAATAAAGACAAATATTTCATAAACTATAACAACCTGGCAAACCGTGTTGATATAGGATGATGATATTTCATCATTCCTAAAACCTGATACTTCATCTTTATAAAAACGACCCTTCAACACAAGCAAAGGACAGGAAATAGCAGTAGTAAAAAATAAAGAACAACACAGACGTATCTACTTAGCTCCGTGAAAATCGACAGTTGACGGTTTCAAATGCTACCCTTCACCACAAAATTCTCGGAACAAGAAAAAATCAAGTAAGCACAAACTTTTAAAGAAAGAAAAGCGAAATTAATATCAGGAAAAGAAAGCTACATATTCTTGTTATTAATTTCAATACGTGCCTGAAAATCTTATCGCTGTTATAATTGCACGTTTTTATTCATTTCATTTTCACTATAAAACAGAATAGAAAAGGAATCCTTTAGCAACATCTACAAATACATTTAATAACGGGGTAATCCCCTTAACAACTACACATCCACCCAGTTACAGTACCATAGACGAAACTTCATCGGAACAATTACCACGAAAATCATTTCCTCATCTTTCGCAAGATTAGGAATAATAGCTAAAAAGAAGCTATGGAGAACCACGTCTCATACGTGCTGTAAAACATAGTATTAAAAAAGTTTCGGATATTTTTGGTAAAATTCATCTTAAGCATTTTTTGGTATCATTTTCATTGAAAATTAAACATCTTGAAAAATATCGTCGAATCAGCAATGAAGATAAAAAGGAAGATGGCGATAGCGGAAGTGTAATTATAAATCTCGAAATTACTTCCCATACTTTTCTCAAGAAAATATGTCATTTTTTATAATAGATAAAGGAAGCTGTGGAGAGTCAGCATCACCTACGTCTTGAAGCAATGTTGTAACTCTTAACATGAAAGCGATCAAAGAAAAAGTCGCATATTTTCGACCAAACATTTTATGTATGTTTGTATCACTTTCCTTCCAAACGAAACGTCTTAAAAGAGGTCGTCGAATCAGCCATGAAGCAATTTGTAAGAAAAGACTGTATTTTTTTTTCATTTTTGTAACGGAAGTTTCATTTTTTAAACTAACATCTACAGTCGCCATTTTGATTTGACAATTTTATTCAATTTTTCTTTGTTTTCGAACAAGTCAGGTTTTATAAAATCTTACGCCGTATTTTCATTTTTCTGTTTCTTTTCTAAAAAGTTTTTTTTTTCTTTTCTAAATTTAGACCGGGATTATTTTTTATCATACAGAATCTTGACTCCTTTCTTATTTTTACAGTAAAAAAAAAAAACGTTTAAATAAAGAATCCGAAAATCACTGGTCGAAAAGCGCAAAAAATATATATAAAATTTATTTCGGCTTTCGTTTTTTTTTTTAATGTTCTATATTTTCTTCTCTTTATCTCATTAAAAATACTTTTACTTCAGTTAAAAAGAAATGTATCGCTCTCACTATATACAGGCTGTCCATAAAGTTCGTGTGCAATTTTAAAAAATTATATCTTTGTTTGTTGCGATAGAAATAATTTGTAAAAAGGATTAGAAAGAAGTAAATCTATATTTTTTAAGGTTTTATTGAAATTTTATTTAAGTTTCCACATGTCCTCCATCATTAGCAATACAAAGGGTAGTACGATTTTGCAGTTCACGGAAAATATTTGCCAACTGATTTACAGTAATACCTGAAATCACATTTTAGCTTTCAAAAGTTGCATACACAATTGTTTTCACATGTCCCCATAAAAAAATTTAATGGAGTCAAAACTGGCGAACGTGGAGGCCAATAAAATGGTCCACCCCTTCCGATCCATCTGTTAGGAAATTCTTGATTTAGAAACTCTCTAACACGCCGAGCAAAGTGACGAGGAGCTCCATCTTGTTGAAACATTGTATTATAACATTTTTTTACAGATTATTTCTATCGTAAATACAAATAAAGTTATAAATTTTTTAAAGTAAACACGAACTTTATGGACACACTGTATATAAATATTAACGTAAAAGCTACAGTTATTAAAACGTAAATGCAACACTTACAACGAGACACCACACGTCCTGGGTATGACGATAAACTACATCCAACAGCAAGGCCTCTGATCAGGAGGTTTTGAGGAGCATGGCACCTCCTCTCAATTGCTGGTGTTCCCAGGTCCACCCTTATCAATTAGGGTCCAAACTATGGGCGAATAGTCAACCCCCAAACTGGGATCAAACCACCATGAAAATGTAAAAATCGTTTTTAATACCTTCAATACATTTTTGAAGAAAAAATATTACCAGCAAAAAGAAAATCTTGTGGGCATTAAATAAGGTTGTTGTAACGTAAACCGAACCAAACCACACAGCACATTATTTGTTAAGCTTCTCAAAGCTGAGTGACTTATCACTGTTATTACAAAACGTTACATTGATTAAAAATATTCCATAAACACATTCTTTTATTATAAATTCAAAGCTTCATTATTCAGCTCTTGGGATTTGTTTGATTTTCTATAAATTGGCTTACCGCCATATCACGTTGAAACACCTGTTCTCATACGATTACTGAAGTTAAGCAACGTAGGAACTACGCAGTACCTAGATGGGTGACCGTTTGAGAATACCAGGTGCTGTAATAGACTAATGGCCATATCACGTTGAAACACCTGTTCTCGGACGATCACTGAAATGAAGCAAAGTAGAGCCTGGTCAGTACCTAAATGGGTGACTGCTTGGGAATACCAGGTGCTGTAAGCTTGGATGTAATGAGCTTACGGCGATATCACGTGTAATCGTGGAACACTCTCACCGGTCGTCCAAGAAAATTTCGCTTTACAGCTTGCATTTTCAGCTGCGTAGAACATATGTCAATTATCATTGTTCCTAAGTTTGGATCACTTTTCCATTGTTCAGTCTGCACGACATTTTCGTAAGATCACTGGAGTTAAGCAACGTAAAGCATGCTCTGTAACGAGATGGGTGACCGTTTGGAAATACCTGGTGCTGTAAGCTTGGATGGGCTGGTGGTGTAATGGGCTTACAGCGATATCTCGTTGAAACACTGTGTAATCGTGCAACACCCTCACCTGTCGTCCAAGACTTCTAACACTATGGCAGATCGAAAAAAATCAATTCGATCTCAGACCTACCCTATCCAACGTTGTGATTTAAGTTTGATCATAAGGCAGCCAAGACCGAACCGTCGCAGGTATCTTCATAAATATCTTCCACCTTTCAATTAAATACGGTAATGCATGAAAAATATTCCGTTGATGCGGGAGCAAAAATGATGTTTCAGGGCATTTTTCAAGCTGTTTCATTCTCAAAGAAAATGAGACAAAAATACTTACGATGATTTTTACCAAGAAGAAATACTATGTCATTGTGACACTATTTAGCTATGGTAATTGGCTAACTAATTAAGCATGGAAATTAAAAACGAGAAATACTTAAAGCGAGAAAGAGCTATAACGAAAGACATACCGAGCGATATTATTTTTTTTATTTTCATTTACGAAGAAAGGTATCTTTTTTCGCAGAAGATAGAAAATTCGTAAGAAAAGCGGGTATCAGATTCTGTCAGAATTAATTAGTGTCATGACGCGGCATACAAAGCAGAATTCTAGAAGATAATCGAAACTGCGTCAAGCATGCGACCGAGAAAGAATTAGGTGAGACCACCCCAAAAAGAATAGCCATGAATTGTCTTTCGGAGATATCATTTGGTTTTGGTTGTCCAGCGAGGAGACCCATCTGTTGTATGTCCGGATCTTGACATGAGGAGATAGGGTCGAGAAGGGGAAATCATTGTTACTACCTGTTCGAACTATTAACGACAGACTTTCTGTCGCCGAGAGCGGATGTCAGAGGGTGCGATGGTGTTGAGGCGAGAAAGACAAGAGATTTAGTCGACCACCCATTTAAATAGTTGACCAGCGATAGTTAATGAGTCGGCGAAAAATACGCTAATGAATTCCAGGTGACCCCAAGTTAAGATAAAAATTTAATAGTCACGAGGTGAGGTCCATAAGAATTCTGGCCGATAGAAAAGAAAGAAAGAATAGGGAAGAAAATTTTTTCTTTGGGCGATAATTGTAAACTGAGATCAGTATAGCCACACCCACGCTGCCGAGCGTTCATTGGCTGAGTGGTGGCGTGAGTGATGGGCGAAGGTGGACATATGAGAAAGAAGGGAAAGTTTTTGACGCCTTCTGAGGGGATTGGTGTGAGATACCAATATGAGAAAGGAAGAGTTTACGAGGATAATCCTCCTACGATCCCCTCTAAAACAGAAAGTAATTGACTTCCAAAAATGGGAAGTGATAAATTTTCCTGTCCGAAGAAAAACAAAATCCTTATTGGGGATCTGGAATTACCGAAGAACCCAAACCATGACAAGGCCCCCACCCGGTTTTGGTCGACGTCCATATAAACGAACGTCCCCAGAGCTTCAAGCAGTTGGAGTTGAGTTACAGTTGAGTTGGGTTGGAGATCGGAGACGCACGCAGATCGACAGAGAGCTGAGAGCTCGGAGACCAGCCTCGCAGGAGCTGACTGAAAGATTTCCACGCATTCCGACTTAGACTTCTAACCAAAAGCAATTTTTTTGAAGAACGACTTAGACTCACACCACCAAAATAAGTTTTAACGAATATCGCCTGAAGATACCAAAAATCAGTTTATTGAAAAACAACTTAAGATATCAAGACTCGCCTGAGAAACGCAAAGTGTCACGAATTCATAGAAGCGGGTTGAGAGAAAGACGCAGTCCTGTATTCAGCATACAGATATAAAGATACTTGTTATTTTTTCAACACATTTGAACCTTTTGAGTTTGTTTCATTATTTTTCTTTTACATACACTTGTGCGGTATCACCTGATTCAGCTTGCACTACGGCCCGACGCCTGATTGATTTCGTCTACCTAAGATCAAATCACAACGTGGGTAGGTTAGTCTAGAAATCAAAGCAGTTACTTCGGTAACCAGACATTGGAGGCGAGTTGGGAACGGCAAGGCTGATATCGAATCTAACCAGACATCAACCACGACCAAGACAACCAGAGGGGTTAGTGTCACACATTGTTCCGCGGTAAACCAGATTTCCATCCGAACCAGCCAAGGGTTAGATCGTCACAGATGGTGCTGCAGTCATCCCAGGGTTAGAGGCGTCACAATTGGCGGCCGTGACCAGGACTGACCGGTGGAGTCACAATTGGCGCCGCGACCAGCACAGGACAAGACCAGGGTGGCGTCACATCATTCATGTCGGAGGAGATGACTGATCTCCACGGTTTCCTTTTACTTATTATCTGTAAATTGTTATTCATTTTTGGGAATGATAAAGAAATAATTTACCGTCCTTTTCTCCACGTAGTGAAATCAGTTTTCTTTCTGCTCGACTAATCACCACCCATTGATAGAGATGCCAGTCTACCCTGCTATTTCGCCCATACTTTTTAAGCATTTCAACCCAAGCAAGGCAGGAGTCCGACTAGCACGCAAGGGGTTACAGAGAGTGGTAGCGAGAGTAAAGAGGCGTTTTAGAGGAAAGGATGAAGAGAAGGGTAGGGAATAGATCAAGGCATCTGGGGATGCCGATTTGAATTACATTTGAATAGTTGGAGACTGTAGCTATGAGGGAAACACGTAATAGAAAGGGAATTCCACAGACGGGGCTATCCTTCCAGATTCTTCCAGAGGGATTGGCACAGGAAGAGAAGGGTTTTTTTCCCCGTCGGAATAGAAGCTGCAGTATCTGTTTCCTGGTAGAGGCCTTTTCACCAATCTTGCGTTCCCGGACACCCTGTTGCGTGATATCTGTTACATAGCACTGGCATGACCGGCTATGTCTAGCTTGGACAAGCTATGACCAGCTTAGACCAGTGGCCCGAGTGGAAACACTCGGATCCCCACGTTAAAAAACGATCTTGTGTCACAACCTGACTCAATGGAGGCAAACATCGGGCGGATTACCCTTAGCAAACGAAGAAAACGCGGGAACAGCCCCAGAAGCAACATATGCCCTGACGACAGGAAAAGACAACTTAACACAGACAGACAATCTATTAAACGGTATCTGTCTGCCCCTACACAATTGCGGCAGTTTTAGATACACTGTGGACAAACCGAAACCAAACATAGGTGGGGACTTAAAATTCTTAACCCTTCGCTCAATTGTCGGATAATAACATTTTCCGGGGAACCTGGCAATATCAGACAGGGGGTGTGTACTAGCAATACATGTCTGACTCCGACAACAAAGAATTCCGCGATTGGTCATCATATTTTGGATAATCCAGAGTGTGCGTATAAATACAGTGATTCGTGGTTTTCTATTTTGGGTAAAGCAGGGTTGATTAAGCATCTGCACGTCCTCGAAGTAATATATATCAAATTGCATCGACCGTCTTTGTGCCGCCTTGTAAATCAATATTTTCATTTTTAAAACTGTTTATTCTGTACTTTTTTTGTCATCTTCCCCTATTTACCTACTCCATTTTAATGTTAAGTTGTATTTTAATTATAATTTCTCGTCACCACAAGACTATTAGCCCGTGATTCTTGTTACATTTTGCAAGTCGGTAACGATCCTTCTGAGGTGTTAGCCGAGAAAAGGTTACCGTTTCAAGAGAAAAATATGCAGTTTTGTTTATTGATATATATATATATATATATGTGTGTGTGAAAATTAACTGTTCTAGTTGCACGTGCCATGTTTAATGGATGTCAGTTATGAGTTATCTCCTGTTAATTCCCCTCTCCAAATTCTCTACTGCCTTAACCGGGTATTGAACTCACACTCTTTTGGGTCCTCTCGCTGGATCTAACCAACGCCTTTATCCACTGTACCATGTGTCCTTGAGTCTACCTCAGTGAGCGAAATAAATACTTCAGTTCGACATTCCGATCACTTGAAGAAAGCCATAGCGTACAACGGCCGAAAGGTTGTATTAAATATGGCGACAAAGATGAGGACAATAGTCCGAATAATTTAAATAGAAAGAAAGAAAGAAAGAAAAAAGTAAACACAAAGAAAGAGATAAATAAGAAATAAACAGAGTGAAAAACAAAGAAAGAAAGAAAGAAAGAAAGAAAGAAAGAAAGAAAGAAAGGAAGAAAGAAAGAAAGAAAGGAAGGGAAACATAAAGAAAGAAAGAATGAAAGGGAAACTCAAAAAAGAAAGAAAGAAAGAAAGAACAAAAGTGAAACGCAAAGAAAGAAAGAAAGAAAGAAGAAAAGAAAGAAAGAATTGGTAATGGATAATGAGGAAATACGTAAGTTAAAGAAAGAAAGAAAGAAAGAACGAAAGAAAGAAAGAAAGAAAGAAAGAAAGAAAGTGAAACGCATCAAAAGGAAGAAAGAGAAAAAGAAGATAGATGCGTGTTTCTGATTTGTGGAAAAAAGAAAGAATGTGGACAATTTATTAACAACAGACAAAAAAGAGGTGGAAAGAAAGAAAGAACAAAAAGGCTAATGGTAATGCTGAGAACGACCGTTTCCACAGACAAAACAATAGACATTCATTGCCTGAACGTTTAGAGTTACTGTTGGTTGATTTGAAAAAAAAAAGCTATTTCTTAAAACAGTTTTTTTTTCAGTATAATAATCGCCTCATGTCCTGTAACTGTTATCGCTCTTTCTCGTACTAATCGAAGTTTCCTTTCAAATCGAATGAAAGAAATGGAGAATAAAACGCCGCTGGAAAAACTAGTTAAAGATAAAAAAAAAAAAAAGCAAGACGCATAAAAAGACC